AATTACATAGCCACACAAATAATAGATGCTGGTTAACAGATTTTATTATGCTAGATAAATTGATAAAACAAAAACACTAAAAATCTTTAGAAGAAATTATGCAAATGTATTAAAGCCTTAAATTATTTACAAGGCAGGGATGCCATAGAAATAAAACATTTTGTAGCTATAAAATAAGAACCTGAGTGATATGATAAAAGAAATTAATTAAGTATATATTATTGTCCCACCACCTCTAGTTGGTATATATATCTTAAAATAGTAGTAGTTTGAAATAATATCAAAAATATACTAGTATTAAAAATTTAACTCAAAACTGTTTTTCAAATAAGAAAAAAATAGCTTTCCTAAAAACACTTAAAAAAGAGAAGAAAAGTTATCTAATTTATTACATTCATTCTGGGATATATAGGAGCCCTTTACACGTTTGTGGGCAAGCCGCACGTACTTGTACGCGTAATAGTCCAAGGACTATTATTTAAACGTCTATGGGCTGATGAGGAATGGACAAAAATAAGCACAGCCCACACCCATAAGATGTTAAATTTTAAAAATATTTCTAAATAAATAGATGGCGTTAAATATTTGAAAGCAATATATTACTTATATTGATTACAAAAGGATTTATTAGTAAAATTTATTAAAATATTAACTGTGATATATTATATAACTGTCAAATACGTCTGTAAAAGTGGTACTTAACCTAATCTTTTATAACCAATTATATCTAATAGAACTTACTTTTTATAAATAAATTGCTTATACATATTTGGATATGGACCTTGAAAATAATTTTAAGAAGAGGCATGGTAATTAAATTTAAATATCAATAATAGTTGATTGGTGATTTTGAACTTGGCTAATTACAATATTAAATTTGTTAATTTTCAATTAATATTTATTTAATTAGGGTTATACAATAATTTAATAATAAAAGTCAATAAAGCTTCAACTGTTAATGCTAAATTAATATTTAGTGAGTGATCGATGCAATCGTATTTAAAGTGGGAACATTCATATTTATATTATTTATTCGAACTTCTTCCGGAAGCTTTATATCGAATTCTCTAAGAAAAGGCATTCCAAAAATAAGGAAATTCTCTCTTTAACTGCCCAAATAGGTAAAAATTTATAAATGTTTTTTACTTCGACTTTCACTCTACATTTACCCAACACTTCGATTTTGATATTATTATTCCCCACTAGTTTTTACGCAGACAATAGTAATGATTTGCCAATATGTATCCAGGCACCTTCTGCATTCAACACTTTTAATTGTAAACCGCAAACCATTTACCTTAGCATCCATGATAGCTTTATTAGTATATTACAGCTAGATGTCCGTTGTAGAATTATCTTTATGGCATGAGTTCTACAATCTTTTGCTATGTGGTTTGCCTATATGAAGTTAGGTTTATAACTGGATTTATAATTATTTGGAGTATAATTATTATGATTGAATTAGTTAGCATAACAACTAATATATTGAATTTATTACCGTTTTAATATAATTATTATTCTTAATATACATGTGATTGGAATGCGTCGGCTTATGCTTAAAATTTTGTTAATTTCTACCAATGACATATTATATGTCATTGATTTCTACCTGACTGATCGCTAAACGAACGATATCTGTAAAGGTGATATAACTTTCGGCATATTTTGACCGAAGTTTTTTATTTAGCTAGGGAAGCTCTACTCCTAAGATAAAAATATCTCTAAGTTCATCTTTAAAATTACATAGTGATCGATACTTTTATATTTGATCGAAAAGTTATTAATAGTTTCTCCGCCTCTTTCTAAGGTATAAAAATTATTTTGATGTAGGAAAATATTAGGAATATCATTAAATATTTTCTCAAAACTATCAAGGAAAGTTACATAATGAATACTCTCTAAATTATTCAATAATGAAAGTTCTTAATAATAATTAAATTTCGGTAGCAGAATTCTGTTATATACAAATTTTTAATTGGAAATCCATCGTCCTTAATCAAAATTTAACTAGATGTTAATGCTTCTTCACTTTTATTAAAAACTATCTTCGAGTCTTCGTTAAACATAGTTAGGTGTCCTTTGCATCTTTAACCGTTTTTTATATTACATCTCTTTAACCATAATTAAGATTTTAATAAAAGGTTTATTTTAAAAAAATAGGTTTAAAGTTCAAAAGATAATAAACTTAAAAAAATTCTATGTATATATATTAATCGAAAATAGATCAATAATATAAATCAATTAACATAACATTGAATAAATAATAACCTAAAACAAAAAAACAATTTATCTATACATTACACTAAACATCGATTAAATCGATATATTGCATACAATCATACTCATTATTTTTAAAATAAAAATTATTTCTGTATAATTTTCTGCTATATTTTGAAATGCAATTTTAAAGGGGGCAGATATTCTATCAGAAAATTTATATTCATGCCAAACACACTATAATATTATAATAATACATTCATTGTAAATGAGGGGAATTAATTTTATTCCCATTCTAAAAGATAATTATTTCACTTTCACTATATTTTGTTTATTAATTTTCAGTAGAGTATTGATAAATTAAATTGCCCTTTTTTAAAATACATGAAGGGATAAGAATTACAATCACTGTCGAATGGTGGGAATTTTTTTTAGGGGAGGGGGAGATAGGTGTAGGTTTTTAAACGGGGTTTGTTTCCATTGATTATTCTGTTAAGTAGACGCTGCCTGCCTATAGGATTTTAAAATCACCTGTGACTGTGAAATAGTTCTTATGGTTATTTTTTATATTTCTCTTTTTCGAAGACCTTGCCATTACACGGAGTATAATGTGAAATAAATAAATTTTGTTAATGTATCATATATTTAAATTAAGGCAAAAGAGAGTTATGTTGAAACTAGTAAATTAGTGGTTTTCTTTAAATCAAAAATCTATAATACAACTCTCATTCATGAATACCAAAAATCAGAATATATAGGCAATAATTTTTGATGCCTACGTATCTCAGACACTTTTAGGCGAGCCTCGTACAGAGTTGCCAGGTAATATTGAGAAGGCTAGGGCAATTTAAAAATGTGTAATATACCAAATTGATGAAACTTTAGCAAAATCGGCAGCAATTTTAACAATTTCCTTCCACATTTTTATTTAAAAATAAATTTTTTGAATATAAATATTATAATGCTTAGATTCAATTTATTGAAAACATATAGTCACAAAATCATAATCATAATATAGCACATAATTATCACATTTCATATTCATAATCATATACACCTCATTATAAAAATCCATGCCGTACATAGCATCTTCATGAACTTATCTCTGATCATCTGATTGATGATTGCTTGTCTATATCCCAAAGTGGGTAAATCGTTACAAATATATTTAAAAAGATATTATAAAGGTGAGTAATTTTTGTTAGATTATAGTATTTCGATTCGATCAAGGTTTTAGAAATTTTACTAGAAGATTTCCCGTCGCTAAATTTGAAAAGAATTAAATACTTAGATATAAAACGATTTAAGAATTTATTTTTAAAAAAATATCAGTAGATTTTTTTTAAAATTAAAATGACGTAAAAACCGAACGCATTACTTATAATTTGTTATTATAAAATACAAAAACTAATTTCTGTAAATGTGTGTGCTTATTTTATGATAAATAAACATATTTTTAATGATAACAATTTAAAATAATAAAAACACAACAATAAATCGTAAATATAGTTATGACAAGTATATAAATAAAAATCAACAATACCATCGGTTAGAACTAAGCCCGTTTAAATTAGGGTTGAAGTCCTGCAAAAGGGTCTTAGAGGAGCTAAAATAGATCATACATACAAGACAAATTTTTTTACCTGAAACCCAGACTTCGCTTGAAGAAGGATTGTTTTGGTTTACTTGTTTAAGGATAGTTGATTTCAAAGATGTGAACCCTAGAAAAAAAACGGCAACCGGGTCCAGGTTTATAGTTAAAAACTTTATAAAAGGATTTATGGTTTGGGTTAAGGATACGGGGGGTTGAAGAGCCTAAAAAATACTAAATATTAACAAAATAACATTTTACATTTTTACTAAAAAATTGAAAAATCCTTTATCTTACAATCATTTTTATTTTTTATATTTTTAATTCAAAAGGCATCAAACAAAATTAAACATACCGAAACTTTGAAAAAGTGGTTATATTTACTTGATAAACGTATTTTCAAAATAGAACCATAATAACCAATTGTTTATTTTATATCAAAAAATCATTTTAAAGCTTACATGAAAATGAAATAAATGATTTTATAGTGGGTTTTATATTGTATCATACAAAAATATACCCCAAAAGTGGGTTATACTTTAGCCTAGCATGGATGAATAGCTTAAATTAAATTATAAACGGAATATCTAGAAATAGTAGTATTAGTCCTTTCTAGATTTTATATTTTTGGTCCTATGCTTTCTGAAATTGATATAGATACATGATAAGCAATTATTATATTGTTAGCATATTAATTTATTTATAAGAAAACTTTAAAAATAAATTCAAACAACCAAAAATTTTGAAAAATGTGAAGGAAATGGAAAATGACGAATTAAATCCCTTTTTATTTATTTTCATGAATTTTAAATATATTTATTATTTTCAGAAATTTATAAAAAAAAATTTTGATACCTTGAACTCTCAAATTTTTAATAAGGGTCAGGTTTGGGTTCTAGATCAGCAAATATATGAGGGTTCCAAGTGTTCGGGCAGGGTCCGAGTTCATATCCCTGGTTAATATTTCATTCAATGATCCTATGTTAAGGATAATATATCGATTAAATAATTCATAATTGTTAGGTTTTTTACATTATTGTGATAGTTTATCTTAATTTGTTATAACCTTGTGGATAAATATTTGCGCCACCATTTATTTACTTATTATCTTATAAAATCAAAAACTCCATTTTGAAATTAAATGTTAAAAATGAATTATTATTATAATATTGCTCCTTAAAATTATATTTATTTAGAAAAGAATTCTAAACAGGTAAATTTATATTAATAGTTAAATATGATATAATCTAATAATTTAATATAATATTAAGAACAAGAACAAAAGTTTTAAAATATTTAATATTATGGTTTAATGTTATGTTTTTATTAAATTTATTTTTCATATTGCATTTATTAAAAATTATAGTCTAACCTAGTTTATCTATTAAATTCACTATTTTTCCTTAAACCCATATGATTATATTTCAGAAATGAAACCTCATTCTGCATTAATATGTGATATATGTGGTGAAGATTTCTCAATAAAATCCTTATTGTATAGACATTTAGCTAATCATACAGCAGCTGATGAATCTCAAATAAAAAGTAATTTTCAAATATTTTAATTATAAAAATTAATGACACATTATTAAGGGTATGAAGAGATATCACCAAATTTCCTATGCAAAATTTGCTTGAAGGAATTTAACACTTCATTACGTTTAAGAATTCATGAAAAAATACATACCAATGATACTTATATAAATTCAATTACTACAAATAATTCTATAACATATCCAGAACCCAAGGCCAGATCAAACATTATCAAAAATATAATTAAATCACCAATATCAACCTTATCTAACAACAAGTATACTTGCCAAGTCTGTGGAAAATTTTTTAAAAATAAAATTTATCTCAAAAAACATTTGGAATCACATATTGATAAAAGCAGTTTTGTATGCTTATTATGCAATAAGGAATTATCATCAGAATGGGATCTGCAGAAACATGAAGTAATTCATTCACGAACCAAAAATAACAAATGTGATTATTGCGAAAAAGTGTTTTCGATTGATAAGCACCTTATCAGGCATCAAAATACCTTTCACAAGATAATTATTGCTAATTCAATTCCTCATTCTAATGATAAACTTTCAGATGTTACAATGTTTTGTGATGAAATTACTAAAATAATCAAAAGCCCAAAAAAGAGAAGTACACAAATGAAATCATCCACAGAAATTAATGAAACTTATACAAACAACATTCAAGAATCATTAGTTAATAATAATAATAGTACTGACCTAAAAACTAACATAAATTATGATCAGCAATCTCAATATGATTCATATCCTAACAATATAACAAATGAACAAAAAATGAACTCAGAGGGTGAAATATTACAAAATGACTCTTTTAAACCAAATTCTTACTGCTCCACATGTGAAACAGATTTAAATGCTGTTACCAAAAAATTGCATGACCGCTTTCATCGTACTATACCTGAAACTTCACAATTTTTCAAAAGACATAAAATATCTCTTTTAAACCTTCCACAACCAAAATCAGCAACTATGACGGATTCCTCACATTTACATCCTAAACTTCAACTCAAACACCTGTTCTCTGGTCATAGTCATGACATGGGCAGTAGCAACAAGTATTACAAAAAGGCTCTCATATCAGCCAAAATAACATCAAATAGGCGTGATGAAATGTCCAGGTTAGCAAACCTATCTGCCATAGAACCAGATCTCCTCAACTCCATTTTTGACTCCTCATTCATAACAAAGGAAGGTATACGACCTCAAGGCCAAGACCTTACATGCCTTTACTGCTCTGCTGGATTTGCCGACCCTGATACTCTTAAACGTCACTACTTTAGTCATATGGCCTCACCCATGTTTCAATGTGATAGTTGTGGTGAGACATTTCCTGATAAACTTCGCCTGCAAGATCACATAGTTCAGCACCAACTCGATACTATGTTTACATGCAATGTTTGTGCTAAAACCCTGCCTGATGCAGAAACTCTCAGAGTTCATGAACTTGCACAGCAGCATGGACCTACTTTGCCTCCTCCCCATCTTGGTAATTCCTGCACCACCAACCTTTCACATTTTATATTACCCCAATTAGAATCCATGCCTACCACTGAATTTAATTTGCCTGCTTTACCAAACAACACCACGGTGCCCAGTTTTAATATGAAAATACCTGGAGGACCTGTACAAAATTCCTATTACACCCTTTGTCCAGTGTGTGGTAAACATTTTGATCGTGAAGAGAAACGACAAGTCCATTATCAACTGTACCATGCCAAAAGAGCTCCATATTTTTGTGCCTTTTGCCCCACTAATGCATCTTTTGATCAGAAGATTTTGTTGCTTAAACATCTCAAAAGGTAATAACAAATTTATATTTCTACTAATCTGCATCATATATATTTGGCCTCTGAAAATTTTGTTGCATAACAAAAAAATTAATATTTTCAAAAATTAAATGGATTATTTTTCCCAATTAAATACCTTCTTGCATCTATTGTTCTGACAGCCATTGAGTTTATTAGATTTCGACAATTTCCATTTAAAATAAATTACATTTATCTAGAATTGTTATTTGAAGATTCATTCTAATAGTGGATTAGAAATTTACAACAATTTTGAACCCATAAATCCTTATATTATGTTTTCAATTTAAAGTTCATTTTAAACAATCTGAATTAAAGGTACCCCTGATTACTTATTAAACCCTTTTTGGTCCAGCATATATATTTTTTGTAAAATTTAATAAAAAGGGAAAGAATAGATTAGGGACAATTAACAAAGAAGTAAAGTCAAAGGTATATGCCTAATGATTAAGTTTATTCATTACAAATGGCACATCTCTTTCTAATAAAAATGGGATAGCTGTTATAATTCAAAAATATCTTTTAACATCAGGATTGTGCCTATATAGTTGGGTTAAATGTTATTCCCTAACTTGTCTAACAATACACTGGTAAAAGTGAAAGACATCCCTTGGTGACAATAATTGGGAAAATTATTTTAGTACAAGATATACACATTTCAAAATCTATGCTTGCAATTTTTGGGAAAAATACCCATAGAAAGGCCATAATTTTTTAAAGAAAACATATCTTTTCTTATATTTATTAGTTAAAAAATATAATCACATACAATTAAAGGTTTAATCATGATTATATTTATTGTATAAAACTATTTAAAAAGTTTTGAGCCACCATTGAAAGTAGCATCCATATAAATAAAGTGGACCCTAAAAAGATAGGAATGAATGGATAAAAAAAAATAATAATAAAAATTTGCCAATTTTTGTGCATTTATGTTCAGCATGAATGGATAAAAAAAATAATAATAAAAATTTGCCAATTTTTGTGCATTTATGTTCAGCAAGTAATGCTATGCAGAATTTATTTTAGGCAAAGATAGCCTTGTTGTTTGAATAACATGAACCATAATTGTCTTTTGTATGTAGCACTTTTGATTTTTGCCTGGCAAAAAAATCCAATTTCCTCTTATGCATAGCTTTTTAATACATTTTATGCATACTCAAATATTTATTTAAAAGAATTTGGCCTTTTAATTTATTTATTGTAATTAAAAGTTCATAAAACTCTTTTTAGTATTATGATCATGAACCTTAGCTATTATAAAAAAAGCTATTTAATATGCCTCTTCCATTAAAATGTTTTCTTCTACACTTAACAGGTTATCTTTATTATGAGAATATAAATAATTGTTATAAAATACTAAATTTTTATTAAATTTTATAAATTTATACTGAGCGTTTTGTTTCAAAAAAATTAATTGATTTATTGGATTTTCTTCAATAATTAAAAATTAATTTACAGACAAAATTAGTAACTAATTTACCTAGGTTAGTTAGGATTTCTGAATGGATTATATCAGTGATTCTTAGAAAATTTCTAAATAAATAAATTAGTGAAATATTTAGGGATGTACGGATATTTTTTATCGGATCAGGCCGATATTTCATCTATTATAATATATCGGTTTGGCCAATATTATAAAATGGCCTTTTTAAAAATAAAATGTTATAAATTAAAAAAAAAAGTTATATCTAAAATCATTTATTTTTATAAATAAAATCGTAATCCATATTTTTAAAAATTTTTTTTTTCTCTTTAGCTTTCACCTTTTCTGGTGATAAGCTCCTTCAACATCTCTCTCCACTTTATGTTATTAATACAATCTCTTTTATCTAATTTATACTTCTTTATATTGGCTCTAACTTTATGGCCCCATTGAAGTTTTGGCCTTCCTCTTTTACGTTTGCCCATCACTTCCAAACTCTTAACTTTATTTCCTATGTAGTTCATAGGCCTTCTCATTGTGTGCCCATACCACCTAAGTCTATTTACCATTAACTTAGTCTTAATGGGCACTACCTTTAAACTACTTAGTATTCTTGTACTGCGCACTTTATCCTTTCTTGTTACCCCAGCAATCATCCTCAGCATTCTCATCTCCATGGTTTGTAGACTTCTCTCGTCTGATTCTTTGGTTGGCCATGTTTCCGAACTATATAGAATAGTTGGTTGTATTATGGAACTGTAAAGTTTTCCCTTTAATTTGTGTGGGATTCTTTTATCAAATAGCACTCCAGATAAAGATCTCCACTTTAGCCACCCTTGATTAATCTTACTCTTTATCTCTTTTTCTATTGTGCCGTTTGTTTGTATAGTGGAGCCCAAATATTTGCATCTTTCAATTGCCGATATCTGCCATTCAATACTCTCTGTTTCATCTCCTCCTATCACCATATACTCCGTCTTTTCTCTATTTACTTTTAATCCATGCGTTTCCAGGATATTTATCCAACTCACTAGTCTTTCTTTCATTTCATCCTTAGATTCGGCAAGTATCACAATATCATCTGCAAATATCATATTCCACGGGTTTGAGGTATAGACTGTGCTAATACATCTATTACTGTAATAAAGAAAAGTGGGCTGAGAGCCGACCCTTGATGAACTCCTTCGGCTATTGTGAAGCCTGCTGAGGTACCTGTTGTGCTACGGACCATTGTTATATGGCCCATATACATATCCTGTATTATTCTTATATATTTTTCGGGAACATTTTTGTGGCGTATCGCCCACCAGATAAGTTTTCTTGGGATTCTATCAAAGGCCTTTTCTAGATCGAGAAAGACCATGTGTAGCTTTTTGTTCTTTTCCCTGTATTTTTCACTCATTTGCCTAATTGCGTGGATAGCATCGGTTGTTGATCTTCCAGGCATAAAGCCAAACTGAGTCTCTCCTATTTCGATTATATCTCTTAATCTTTTTTCTATTATTTTTTCGTATAGTTTTAGACAGTGTGACATTAGTTTTATGCCCCTGTAATTTTGACAATTATGTGGATCCACTTTATTTTTGAAGATAGGAACTAGATAGCTCTGCCTCCATTTTTGGGGAACCTCTTCATTTCCAAGTATCTTATTGTATAGATTTGTGAGGAGATGTATTCCATCATCTCCTAGTGCTTTAAGGCTTTCTATTGGAATAACGTCTGGACCCCTAGCTTTGATGTTTTTCATATGCTTGAGGAATGTGATTATTTCTTGTTGTGTTATAGGTTGTACAAGGTTTGACAAGGGGAGTGTTCGTCTAGATGCAGTATGTGCGGATTAAAGTTGAGAAGCTCCTGAAAATATTCTCTCCATCTACTCATTATTTCTTTTTCCTTTATTATCAATTTCCCATCTTTATTTTTGATTACTTTCGGAGCTCCGTTTATATCCCTAGAGTTCTTTTCTCGCTGTTTGGCTAATCTGTATATTTTATTTTGCCCTTCTTTGGTATGTAGATCTTCGTACATGTCATCGTATGCCATAGATTTGGCTCTAGCTACCGCTTTTGTAGCTAATCTCTTGGATTTTTTGTATCTTGTCTTGTCATCTGCGTTTTTGGATTTGTACCATATTTTATAAAGGGCTTTTTTCTCCTGTATAGTGGTTTGTACCTCTTCATTCCACCACCATAGTTCTTTATATTATTTGTTGCCTCCTCTTGTCAAGCCTAGTGTCGATTTGGCAGTGTCTATTAATCTGGATGAAAGGTCTGTCCACATTTTTTCACTGACTTGTGAGGCATCTATTGTTTCAATGTTTGCATTGATTGCAAAGGCATCTGTCATTGTTTTTAATTTGCCCCATTTGATGCATGGTTCCAGTTTTATCTTGTTTTGAGTGGATTTATTTGAGATGTGTAAATCCATGACTAGTAGCTTGTGTTGTGCGGCGATATCTTCTCCTGGAATGACTTTGCAGTCTATTACATCTTTTAATCTTCTGCGAGAGATTAGTATGTAATCTATCTGTGTTTTCCTTGTACCACTTTCGTATGTTATTAAATGACTATCCTTTTTCCTATAGTAGGTGTTGGTTAAGGCAAGGTCGAAGGCTTGCACAAATTTCAGTATATGCTCTCCTTCATCATTTCTTTTTCCATATCCAAAACCACCATGATGCCTTTTGTAGCTATCTCTTGCTTTCCCCACATGCGCATTTAAGTCACCACCAATTATGACTAGGTCATCCTTAGGGATTTCCATTACAGCTTCATCGAGGATAGCTCTAAAATCATCTTTCTCTTCTTCTTTGCAACCCGTTTGAGGAGCATATAATGAAAGGATGTGTAGTATTGATTGACCAATGCAGAGTTTTATCTTCATTAGTCTTTCAGAGATCCTGTTGACTTCTACAACTGAGGAGGTTAGATCTTGACTGAGGATGATGCCGACACCGTTTCTATTGCTAACAAGTCCATTATAGTACAATTTATACCCATCTCCAATCATCAAAGTCTTCTGTCCTTTCCATTTCGTCTCTTGTATGCACGCTATATCAACTTTTCTCTTGTTCAACATTGATGCCAATTCTCTCGTCTTACCTTTAAGCGTCCCAATATTCAAACTTGCCAGTCTTGTCTTCTTTGCTTTGACCTTTACTTTATTTTCACAGGATGGAGGTCTACACCCTGTTCGTCGCATGGAGGGAACGCCCTAGCTTTCATATTCATATTTTCATTTGTGTCCTTCATTTTGTTTATTGGACAGGTATCCTTAGCACCCGGCTGTCCAGGCCTGTCGGTGACCGGGGTGTCATCTCTAAGCTCCGAAATTCATCATACCATATGTCTTTACACATCAGTCATCGAAGAAAAACTTGAAAGTTTTTATGGTTCTTACCAGGATTGAACCTGCGTCCTTGTTCATACTCGTGTTTACAAGCGTACATCTTACCCATTAGGCCCATATTGTTATTTTTTTTGCGCATTCTGTTTATAAAAGTGTGCGATAATCTCTTCAGAATCTATTTTTAGTCAAGCTGGTGATATTGACAGTTACCATCGCTGCAGGCTGATATTTGATAAATTGGAAATTTTGTTTCTTCTAATGAGAAATCTTCAATATATTAATGTTAAATATTATTTTAAATATTTATTTAAATTTCATATATAGATTAATGTTGTTACTTATTATATAAAAGTGATTTAACAATAAAAATATTTTATATACTTTTAGAATTGCAATAGAATTGAATATAAACTATAACTGATCATTATAATATATTTAATTTACTTAGGTTGGTTAGGTGCTCATAAATGATGATGGAGGAAATATTTCAGATGATATTTTAAAATAAAATGTTATTATATTTTACTTTGAATGGCTATTGATACAGTATGTAAGCTCATAAGATCAACTATGAAATGTATTTAAAATTCATAAATCTTAGAATTATATTTTCTTTGTGTGGCTCTTGATAAAACTTGTAAAAGATCAGTTAAGAAAAAAATTACAAGAAATTTAAAATGAAATAACTTTAGAATTCAATTTTATCAGTTAATCTTGTTGTTATATCTAAGCAGACAGGAGAATATAATTATTTTATATAAAATTAATAAAAAATGTATCATTGCATTGTTTGGATATATGAAAGATGATAAGCTTAGGGAATATTGTAATATAATATTTATAAATGTTTAAATTGAGCAATAAGCTTAAGTTAAATTGATCATAAAAATTTTAAGCTTAAACAAAATTTTGCAAAACATGTATAAAACATCTAAGCAAAAAAACACCTAGTATCTTTCATATTTCCAAACAATTCACTGGTACATTTTTTCTTAATCTTATATAGAATAATTATATTATAGCTCCTGCCTGCTTAGACATAACAACACAAGATTAACTGATACTGAAAGTAAATTAAGAATTCTAAAGTTATTTCATTTTAAATTTCTGTAAATTTTTTCTTAGCTGATCTTATAAGTTTACAAGTTGCATAGTTACACAAAGAAAAATATAATTCTAAGATTTTAGAATTTATAAATAAACATTTCATAGATGATCTTATAAGCTTGTGTGCTGTATCATTAGCCACACAAAGTAAAATTATTTTAAGATTTTGTAAATTTTTTTCTTAACTGATTTTAGCTACAAGTTTACTCATTATTTTATTTTAAAATTATTTCCATTTAATAGTATAACCAACCAATTATTGGATATGTTACTATATCATAAATCAGACACCTGCAGACATTTACACGTCCCTGCCCAGATTTTTTTTCAACTCATTCCGGGTTTTATATTTTCTGGCCCGGTCTGGGTTTTTTTTTAAAAAAAAATATGAGCCTGGCCCACATTTTTTAAAAATATATTACACTTATTTAAATTTTTTAAAATATATTGCCCGTTTTCATAAGTATATGGCCACGTATGATATCCAGTATTGGTTTTAACAAATTGTAACTTTATGAGCTTTAAAAACTGTAAGTGTTCATATTTTTTTTTAAAGTAACATGGAATTTGAGATGACAGGAATTGTCATCTTTCATAAATGCATCTTCTGTAGCAAATAGAGAGTATGAACAGTCCATCGAATGTAAATAATGTAGTTTCAAATTCTAAAATCATCCCAAAATATGGGGTCTCTAACATTGAAAGGCTTTGTAAATTGTGAAATGCAGTCTCTAAGGAGCTAAGGAAGTTATAATCACCAGGTAGAAAATTGTCAGTCTTCACTCTGACCATAAATATGTTGATATTCATGGTCTGATAATTGAATAGATTTAACCATATTTCTACCATTGTTAGAGGTGAAGGTGTAAATTTGCTCTGCAGAAATATTATAAGTTTTCATCAGTTTTAATAAAATATTTTTTATATGCTAGCTTGAAGATTTTTCAAATATTTGATTATAGGAAATATAAGGTAATAAAGATAGAAACACACAAGTAATTTTTTAAAAATCTTTTAGGCGTTTTAAATAAAATAATTATTTTTAATTTAAGCAAATTACTATAAAACATTAATAAGATTAAAATATAATATTTTAAAACTTATTGAACCCAAACCGAACCGTTTTTATATTTTTTTGGTTAAGGCCGAATAATTAAAGAGGGTTCGGGCTTAAAAGCGAATTGGGTTAAAGGTTCGGTTTCAATCCATGATTCCATTAGAGATTTCAAACTTTTTTTGGATAAATTATTGTGTAAATAAGAGTGAATATTATTTTTTTAACATAGTTCTCTATAAAATATGGTTCTTTTATCGACAGTGGGAACTAAAATCTGTGTTACAACTGGGTAAATATTTTAAAAACTTTTCTTATAAATTTCAAATAATTTTTAACGTAAAATATAATATTTTAAAATAAGTTTCATTAAGATTTACACCACATTTCTTGCATAATTTAAATGATTTTTTTCTCTTAATGCACATTGATTTGGCTTTCTGATATATTCAATGATCCAATCTAGCATATCTTACTTTTTTATGGACTCTGTACTCTAATTCATTTGAAGATTTTGTTCACCTCCCTTCTGAGGGCTTCTTTCACTATTTCGAAAAATGAAATATAATTGTAAAATTTATGATTAAAATATTCTACATGACGAGATAAATTTGTAATTGTTTTTAAAGAAAGAGATAATTGAGAATAGAATTAAATTATTTGTTTTAGTTTTATGTTTTAGATAATATAATCTATATTAATATAAAATCTTTTTTTCAATTCAAGCTCCATGGTTGTTTGAGTTTATAACCTAAAGATTATCTATTAATAATCGTCATCTCCCTATTCTTCTATAATTTCTATCACCAGGTCGCTCAAAAATTGTTGACGCTGTTTAAATTTATTCTCCAATTATATTACTAACAATTCTTCAATGATGTAATAGCCATATGAATGTTATATGAAAAATTATAAAATTTAGAAATATTAAGTAATTGATTTGAATAATTATAATTCTCGGTATTTATCATAACAAATTTTTAGACTACTTTTCCATTGGCTAATTAAATATATCAAAATTTTTATGTTAATTTTTGTTACATTAGATAATAAGCTGGCTACCTTGTTAATTTTATTTATTCTATTTTAAACAAAATTTTTGGACCCAGTGCAAATATTATGTTACAGATATTTATTCAATAAAAAAAAATAATATATGAATCAGTTACTATTCTAACAAGAACCGGATTTAATAACTGATTCTACTTTTAATTAAGTTTATTTTATTTAATACACTAAATTTTAAAAGGTACCACAAAGACGTGTACAAAGTAGCCAAGCACCGTTGCTCTAATTGTCGTTCCACCTTTCCAAATGCCCAACTTTTGCGAGAACATGAAGCCCTCCACGAGGAAGTCCGAAAATTTGCTTGCCAAATCTGTGGTTCACTGTTCCGGCAAATTTGCAATGTCAACAATCATGTGCGCAAATGCCATGCTGATGTGCGAGGAGTAGAGTATACCCTTCAACGCAATGAAACGGCACAGAACGAGAGCCTATTGTTTGCCTCTGAAGTAGAGTACTTAGCCTCCGGCCTCAACGCTTACCCTCTTGAGCTAAATTATAATAACCAGGCTCGGGCTAATCGCGACTTTTTCCTTCTTTCAGATGACGATCTTCAAGAAAACAAAGATTCAAAGGACTGTGTCAAAAAGGAGAATTATTTTGTTAATAGTCAAGAAAAGGATGATATACCATATCAGAGTCCCCGAAATTTTAGCAGAGATGAACATGATGAAGAGATGGAATCTATCACGTTTCAATGTACTACTTGTGGACTTTTTTTTCAAAATGCATCAGCGCTGCAAAATCACATGGTGGCTGTTGATACATCTTGTGCCTCCGAAGATACCTACGAATGCCCCCAATGCTTTTTTCTCACCAAAGACATACCTATCTTCAATGCACACTTTCACACTGATTTTCATTATAACCGTCAACACAATTTGTTACTCTACGATACTTATAAACAGCTTTTTCCGGTTTCTCATCTTACTATTCTTCATGGAAATAAAGAAACCTACAATGATTCCAAGTCACTTACTGGCCTGTTACGGTTCAGAACAGAAAAAAGCTTTGCAGCAACTATCAACAGTCATAACAATAATCTCTTGCAGTGTGAAATTTGCGATAATTCATTCTCTAACAAATCCAACTATGGGCGTCATATAATAGTGCACAACACTGTCAAACCCTACCAATGCTATCTATGTGGCCAAGCCTTTGTGGTCATAGAAAATTTAAGAAAACATTACCTGCTTCATTTCGCCATGCTTAAAGCACTTGCAGTCTCTTTGTCATCATCTCCAAACTCTCCCGAATATCATTGTTTGCGATGTGACACCCTTATTAAAGGTAAGCCTAAGTTTCAAGCTCACATTTGTGCTGAAAGCAAATTGGATACCAAAGAGTCGACTAACGAGACTTTCAATGAAAATCAAGAGGATGATACTTATAAAATCGTTTCCCCAATTAGGGACGTCAAGTCTGAGGATGAAAATTTTAAATGCCTCGACTGCAAACATTGTTTTATGAACAAAGATCTCTTCTTAGGCCACGTTTGTTTGGGCCAATCGGAAAAGGTGCCCCAGCTTCCCATGTTATGTGATTATGGTATCGAAGCTGCGCGATCTCAGATACTCAGCAATTACATGCCTATTGCCAATAATGTCCATTCCAACAACCATCAATCTCAACCGGATTACGCCCATCTAGAACCCCAAGATCCAGACTCTAATGCACTAGATATCTTAGGAGCATTTGAAGAGCAAACTAATATTACAACCTCCTCTTTTAATCCTTCACCATACATTCAAGCCGCTTTGGAAATACCCGATCAACTCAAATTTAGTTCATACCTCGACCCTTTCACTCGTCCTATCAGTTCCGAGAATCCATGGGAAGAATATTGGCCAAAGTATCAAACCGTATATGAGGGTAAATGCAATTTAAGCATTTGTCTTGCTGAGATGACTTTTTATCGGTCCGTTATGTTCAACATTCATAGCATTGTTCAACCTATGATACCCGTTATCCATCTGCGGAGTTGTGAGGTGAATCGGGTATTTTGTTGTGAGGCCTGCAATCGAAGTTTTAGGGAGCGAAAAATACTTGAAGAACATATCATAGCCTTACATTTTAAAAATTTGCCATCTCACTATTTCCTTTGTCACCTGTGCGGTAAGTTTTCCCGTGCTGGACGCTCCTTTAAAGTTCATCTTGAAAGGCATTTCTCTGAAAACAAATTTCTCTGCGACCAATGTGCTATGGCATTCCCCTCTAAAAGCCAACTGAAATCTCATTATCAATCCCACACTACTCTAGGCCTCATCGCCTCTCAAACATCTAACACCTTAATTAAACCTCTTCTCACATCTTCCTCATTTAAGTGCAATGTGTGCTCCAAGGAATTTAATAACCGTAATGAACTCAATTACCACACCTACAATCATACCGGTTTGAAACCGTATGTTTGCAATGTTTGCTCTAAATCTTACATCAAACGCACCAAGCTGCTGGAGCATGTCAAAACACATACAGGGGAAAGGCCCTTCAAATGCTTCTCATGTGCTGAAGCATTTCCCCACCGAAAATTTTTACAAGAGCATGTAGCCATGGTTCATGGTAACCAAAGTTATAAGTGCAAACAGTGCGACAAAACCTACTCATACGAGCCTCATCTCATCCGGCATCAGAAGATGCACAGTGGTCATAATCCTTATACCTGTCACATATGCGACAAAGATTTTTACAGGAAAGAGAAGTTACAGAGACATTTGTTTGTCCACGATTCCAACACACTCTACAAATGTGACGTTTGTCACAAGGGTTACTCCACTAGGGAGGTTCTGGAAAAACATATATGTGTTCGTGAAAAAGGTTGTGAAAACATAGTTTTCAAATGTCCCTTATGTCCACGAAAATTCACCTTTAAGAAAAATCTTGAACTTCATATAGCTCATCATCAGCCCAACGAAGTTCGAAACGATCGAAAAAAGGTTCCTAAACAATATTATTGTAATCTCTGTCCTAAGGCATTTGTACACCTTAAAAAGCTAAATCGACACCTCATATTTCATCAAAAATATCCTAACTTTGAAGGTGGAATTCCTATAATAGTCGAGGAGAAGAAGTTCAAATGCCACCTCTGCCCGAAAACGTTTATCAAAAACTTTTACCTGAAAAAACATCTGGAAAATCATTTCAAGTATTCATCCGGCTCTGGCCGAAGAACAAAGGCCATATCTAACACCAATTTGTTGACAACAGGAAGTGGCGCCTCATCCTCGACGCAATCTCCTAGTGGATACTCGTTTAATTACAACTTACAACAAGCAGCCCATTCCCATCTCAATAACGCTTACACATCTAACTTCACCGCCAATGACCTGATGATAGTGGATGACTTTAACAAACGTCACCATTGGAGTCCGGCCCATCTCAATGGATTGAACCAGCAGTCGGTAGGTTCATCCCTCGACTTTCACTTCAATTCCTCCGGTCTTTACTTTGACAATTCTAACCAACATCATCTTAGCTCAGCAGATAACGGAGACCTAAATGGTCTGGTGCAATCACTCCATCACCACGATTTTACAACGGTGGATCCTCATCGGGTCAATTCCTTTCTGAACGATGTTGTTTCTAATAATTCCTTAGATGCAGCTTCTAAGACCTTGCTCTCTTCCTCCCCCTCATCTCTACTCGCGAATTCCTCTGCCCTCCCCATATTCAGTTCATCTACATCTACGGACGATACTACCGCACTGCAAAATATGAACATTCTCAATTCTCTCGATCAAAACTCTCTTTACACATTTATGAGGATACAGGAAGACGGCAGTCTGGCGGCGGCCACAGGCACTTGCTTAGAGGACAACCAAGCGCTCTTTAAAGTCATCGAGCAATTGCAACAACAGGAAGATGGAAATGACGCTCCGAGTCTCATAATTATACAGACCGATAATTGATAAAGATTATATCGCTAATTTTTTCTTAAACTGATAAGATTTATAAACAGATGTATATATATTATATTTAAAGCGTACATTCATTTTATTGCGTACATTCATTTTATTGTGTGTTGTAGATTGTTAATTATTCGGCATTATAATGTTTACGCGATCGTTATTTTAATTTCGAATATCATTGATAAATAATTAAATATAATTTTTTTTATATATTTCGCGAATATTGTAAAATATTTTGAAAATTCGAATAGATCAAATTATTAAATAAATCATAGAACATCATAAAAAAATAGACACGATCCCTGAGTATCTCCTTAGTAGTGTTGCCGGGCTATAGAAAAATATCTTCTAAACCTGGTGATTTCGCTAATAGATGTTCAAACATCTGTGCCACCTATGACCTTTTTCTTGATATATTGCGTTAGCCGTTCTTAAAAATCGACTCAAATCGAGCTTTTAGGATTACTCAAATTAGAAATAAAAATCCTTTCAGAACTGTGTACACAATTAGGTTTACAATATATTTTTTTTTACCAAAAATTGTAAATTTATTAATATTTATTTGAATATTGATCATTTTATTTCCTAATAAGGAAATTGAGAAAAAGTTTTGATATTACCAAATAAAATGTAAAACAATTCATTAAGTAAAATTTTAATTTATATTTTACTAGTTTAAAATTTTAAACAAACGGAGTTATTAGTGAAAGAAATTTGTATATGAATTGCAAAGAATTCATTAATTAATTTTCAGAGAGAAACAGCAATTCCCAAAGAACATGAAATTTATATTTAAAATCCTTTTTTTTATATATCTCAACTAGTAAAATATAAATTAAAATTTTACTTATGACTGTGTTCTAGTTATTAAAAAGTAACTTGTAAATTTCAAAAGTAGCTGATTATATTAAAACTTTATGATTTTTTAAAAAAAATATGATTCAACATTTTTAATATAATCTTTCTTGTGCAAACAGTAGTTTACAAACAAAGATTAAAATGAAATTTAAAAAAGAAACCTGCTGGTGCTAAAACTTTCAATTTCCCCTTTAAAAGAGTTTGCAAAATAGAGCCCAAATTATAATGATTAACTAAATTTAAAAAATTCAGGAGGAAATGATCAAATGAAAATCTAGATTAGGGCCAAGCCATAAAAATTTCGGCTGGGACATGATATTAATATTTCATAAAAATTTTGACTATAAATTTTTATTTGAAAGTTGGTGTCAAAATGGTGTGCTAGTTTTTTAACAAAAAATAAGCTTTCCTATGCACTAAATAAACTTAAACTTTCTAGTGGGTTAAATGGAGATCATCATATAAATTTAGAAACTGATTACTTTTGTCGTTAGTTATTTTAACAACGCCCAAAAATGACTGATTAAATAATTTCACGATTCAGTAATTATTCTCTTTAAAATTCACACAGCTTAACTATAAAATTTTGAGAGGGTTTGGACCTATTAAAATTTTTTTCTTCACCTGGCTCATAAAAACAAGTCTTATAAAAGCTCTATCTTATTTATTTTTTTAGTAATTAAAAAAAATGTTTATGGAATAAATTAGTGCTGTAAACGTTATTTCAGAAAGCGAAAAAAAGAACGCGTTATTGGCTATTCAAAAAAAAATCGAACTATATAAAAAAATTATATTTATTTTTTTCCCTTCCAAATTAATGTATTGATAAGTTCTTTTTGTAATATTTATTTTTAACAAGAATTGATTTCTTTGCTAAACATGTTCAGGCGCAGAGGATGGAAAAGTTGTATTATATGTATATAATAAAAATTTTAATTGGGAAATTTATAAGAATAATCTCTTTTTTATAAAAAAACTTCTTAATAAACTTCACAAAAACCTTCATTCAGATCCTCATCATATTTTTTTTTATTTTCTTTTTCAAAATTTAATCTTCATATTTTTACCCTTACATTGGATTGGGGCTGCTGGAAATTGAGGTTAAAATATTTGAATTAGGGGCATAATCTACATTTAAAAAGTGTAGACTTAGTACTAGAGATGTAAATTTTCGTAAAATTTGGGGAAAATATGGAAATTTCCTTTAAAAATTATTTTAATCTTTTTTTTCATGTTTTGTTGAAAACATATAAACTCTTTACATATTATTTAAACAAATATGATATAATTTCAATAGATGTTATATTCCTTAGAAGATGAAAACAATTCCAGATCAGAGCATAAACATCTTGAATCGAGTAACTTATCATTTGCAGAAGTTGCTTTTCACTAAACTCGAGATTTGCCCTTTTAACAGTTTCCTAACCTATCCTATTTCGATATGATAAATGAATATTTTGAATTTTATCTATTTTATAATACTTTGACCTTGGCTATTAATTTTTAATTGGCAATATTTTATTTTCTATATCCTTTAAAAGCAAATTAAATCCATGAGTTTAAAACCCTATGTATTCGATAATTGGATTTTTATTTCTTGCAAATGTTCATGATTTCTTTATTTACTTGCATGATCAGTTTTATAAATGGTGTTAATGTTTGTGCCTACTTTTTCTTATATTACTTTCATATTTATTAGATACATAATTCCCTGTGTAAATTGACCAGGACTGCTTGACGATTTTAAGGGCCGTCAACAAATTTGTTTAGTAATTTTAAAGAAATTAATCTTACCATCAACGGAAAAATGACCTTATTTGGCAGAAACCTAGGATATCATCGAAATTAAAATTGCATTAGTTTCTTAGATGCCAAAATATTTTTTTTTTTATGAATTAAATGATTTTTCAAAATTAGTTTATGAAAATACATAGATATGTTTGGATTTTTTAACGTATTTAGTCATACCCCTATTTGCTGATGAACCTCCCTCTATGCGGCAGCGACTTATAAAAATTTCTCTTTAATGAATGAAAATAATATATTGAAAAGTAAAACTTTTTTTTTCTATCTTCTATGTGGCTATAAAAAAAATATGAAAAGATTTTTGACTATAAAAATTTAAATTTTTATAACAATAATAAGGAGAAAAGGGATTCAAATTTAACACTTTAGAAATTATAAAATTATTTAGTAAGGAGGGGGGGGGGGCTTCCTTTCCTCAAAATTTGGAATGGGTGCTAAATAAAAATTAAGCCTCCCATAGCTCCATTAGCACATACCCATGCTTATGATCCTGTATGCCACATGATCGCCTCGTAAACCTATCCTTAATTTCAATCGAAGAAGGCATCGCATCGTCGTTAGATTGTATTCACATAATATCCTCTTTTGCAAATAAAAAGGCGAGGAGGATAAATCTTTAAACTACTATTTATATTTTTTAATGATCATATGATAAACCTGTCATCATTATAATAGTTGATTAATTTATTTTTAGCCGTCTGACTAAACCAAGTTTTTTTTTCCCAGAAAACTAACACTTTGGCTTCGGGGGTTTTGTCAAAAATATAGCAGCTCAAATTTGAAAGAAACTAATATAAGTTAAGAGGCCTTAATGTTAAGAAATTTTCTCAGAGATGCGCCTGTAGATTGAGCCGAATTAGCGACATTTAGCCATTATCCAGCTATAATGATCACATACACGGTACATGCACTACACTATATTAACTCTTTTAATGTGTTACTCATATTTATGAATATAATCCAATAAATTTTACTATATTTAGTATTCAGAATACGAAAAGTTTTCAAGCAAGCTTAGATAAATCAGGGTTTTAAGGGCTATCGAATAAAGTCTCAGCACTGAGCTAATATTGGTCCTTTTCAGTTGATTTGTAGAATATGGGTCTTGACGTTACTATAATAAAATTTATAATGCATTCCCCTTTTATATTTGCCCCTAATCGCTAATGAGGATCAAATTTTTATTAATATCTAATCCTTCGATTACTAATTTCTTTCATATTTAATGTTTAACCTATTTTTAACCGAGTTAATATCTTGAAGGTATTTTAAATGCAGATTTCAAAGATTAAAATGATTTCTACCAATGAGTTATTAAAAGATTAAAATGATTTCTACCAATTTGAGTTATTGAAATGAACAATTCAGGCGCGTAGCCAATGGGGGGGGGGTGAAAGGGGAAATCTCCCCCCATAGCAAATTTGACTGTTTTCATAAATATCATTTTAAGCTAATAAAAATTTTATCCCTCCCCCCTCCCCCCAAATCAAAATTTTACAAATATTTGAATATCAATTTTCCAAACATAAAACTTATTTTTTATAAATAAATTTTATTAAAATTTCCTTTCCTTGTGAGTACATTAACATTATTCAAAAACATTAATAAATGGAAAAATTTTTAGTCAAAGAGATTGAAATCAAACGGTAATTTATTTTATTATTATATATAATCATTTTATTAAATTCAAAATTATTAGTGAGTTAGAATTAATAAGCATTTTTAATAATATTTTAATTATTAATAAATATCTATAATTTTTTAAATATTTTTTATTTTTACTTCCATTTTGTAGAACAGAAGAAATAGAAATACAAAAAAATAAGGCTGAGCATGAAAAAAGTAATGTGTCGTCAGAAACGATATCATTATTAAATTCAATTGATCAATCAGATATCATGGCTGCTAGTTGCATCAATAAATTATTTTCCCATGGCTCACTACTTTGTAGAAATTTACAAAAACCAAATTTAGATTTGGTTCAGTGGAAAATATATATGAACAGGTAAATACAATAAGAATGGATGTAGATGAATATTTTCATAATATTTATCTAGACGTTGAATCGAAGGCTAAATTTTATGATATAACACTAATTAAACCTCGTCTAGCACCTAGGCAATTATTGAGATGTAAAATAAATACTGGCTCAACTGAAGAATATTATAAAATATCCATTTTCATTACATTCTTAGATACTTTTTTGTTGCAAATAAAAGTACGGTTTTTAGATAAAAAACAAGTCTTTAGCAATCTTCAAGTTTTATTACCCAAAGATCCTTCGTTTTCTAATGCCACTATTGTAAAATTAAATATTTAGCAAAATTTTATTCCTATGATATTGATACTGAAATAAATTTAATCAGTGAATTCGAATTGTAGTATAAATATTTACTATGTTTAGCTATTTTACCTGAGCATGCTATTGATGCGCTCAATCGGTGTAAAGAAACCATGGCTCAATTTCCTAAAATTTAGAAGTTGTTTAATATTCGCATGTTTGCCAATTACAACATGTACGAATGAAAGGACTTTTTCCAACTTGATAAGGTTGAAAACATATTTACGAAGTACTTCCGAATCTCGGAAAATGGCTCTGTTAAATATCCAGAAATTTGGTTCCAACGACAAACGAAATTTTTGATGAATTGGCGACATTCCCACGAAAATTAAAAATCACATAATTATAGTATTTAATAAATTTTTTTGTATAATATTGTATTTGATGTAGTTATAAAAAACTTATTTTTTAAATTATTTTATAGTCAATATTTTATACACACTACTATTAGTATAAAAAATTATATTCTACTTATATTGTATAAGAATTTAAGCTGAGGCTAGTTTTTAAAGCAAATTTTATAAAAAAATGACATTAAACTTTATTTCAACTTTGCATTTAAAAAAACTTTATTAAATATAATATACCTAACTTACAATAATAAAAAATAGACTTGTAATATCCATAAGCACGAATTAGTAAATAATAGTTAAAAATAAAAATATAATCCCCCTTCCCCCACATAAGATAATCCTGGATACGCCACTGGAAGAATTTGATATAAATAGGTTGTTGCAGATTTAATATCTAGTTTACTTTGCTCCTCAGATGATACACTCTCAACATATTACATTAAATTGTTGTTTGCATTGTTATAATTTTTTGGAAATAGTTAATTATTTCAGCATAGTTAATTAATATTATAAAATTTCTTATATTATATATAAATTTCATCTGTATTAATTATAACTCAAGGAAATTGCTTACATTAAAGTTTTTATTAATCTATCCATGATCATTTACCTGTCAGGTTTATTATTTGAAAAAATGAATTAATCCTACCTAATCTCTCTCCTTTTATTAACCACCAACCTTATCCCATATCTATCTAGCCTTTAATCCCATTTTTTATCCCTACTTAATTATTACATGTTTTTATTTTAAATATATTTCTGCCAATTAAAAATTTCCTTTAGACACATTATTTGTTGAGCTATTATTATTCGAGAATGAACGTTTGTGTATAAAAATAAATAAATTATAATTTATGAACTATGAGGAAAAAATATTTAAGTAAAATATGTTAGTGTTTATTTGATCAAAAATCACATAAGGGAAAAATTCCTTTTTATCCCATTCCTACTTTGTATCCAGTTTTATTTATTGTTTAAAAAATGTTTCATAATGGGGCAAGAGAAGAATTCAATCTTCATCTGAAGAAAGATTGACATATTCTTTATAAAATAAATTATAATATATGAGAATATAAACTAACATGCCTTGATAGGTTCAATATTAATTATATTAACAATCTTGATTGTATAATTTTATCCCTTTTACAAGCTTATCAGTGTAATCGCAAATGTCTTTACATACCAAAATTTTCATATATTATATTCTTCATCCTTCTTCACAAAAAAAATTCCATGACTAAAATTCGGGAGAAATTCAAAATAATCATTGAAAAAATTTTAAATATTGAATTATCATCATTCAATTGGTCACTCGCCAAATGACATGCTAAATAGGTGGTTACTTCGTTCCACTTAACCTTCTAACTATCATCCAGATTTTAAACAACTCTATGGTCTCAGGCTTCATAGCCACATCGATTATTTATTGGATGACGCAACAAACAGATTAGAGGCCAACGCATCCCAAATACTGCTTTCCTATCAATCATCATTCACAAAAACCTTTTCACACCCTTAATACTCAACTTCAAATCAACCATAACAGTCAATTCACCTTACCGTATCTAACTTCTCCAATCAGAAAACAGATTTGGTGATCAAGAATGGTTAGAAGCACTTTCTAGTCCAAACCTTGATAATCTCTTAGCCATGGCCCAGCCTCACACTTGTAAATGTAATATTCCAGTAGATTAAAGGTAGACACTGCATGATTTGCTTATATAGTCAATGGAGACATCAACGCACTTAAATAAATCATGTCATCAATACACATAACGAATGGTTTCCCTTTTCCTCAAAAAAGGTAAAGCCGTTAGTAACGATGTTACTTTACAGCATTAGAATAAATAAATAAAATAGTGCATTTTTTTGAAGAATCATATACAAACATATGATAAATAATATTCAAAATGATTAGAAATATATACTATAATAATGAATACATTTAAAGGCAAGTGTCAGATCTAAAAAACGTCATATATCATCATCTAATATAAATTTTCCCATTTTACCGGACCGGAATGTTTTAAGAAAAAGATTAGCGGCGGTATTTATGTCAGGTTTAAATTCCCAATGTTGATTATTGTTGATTGACTCTGAATTTCCATCATAAATCACTTTCCTAACTTTCACAAATCTTTGATTAACTATTGCAACTCGAATCAAATAATCTAATATATTGTCCGTAGGTTTATTATTTAAATAAGGCCCGTAAATTTTCATGTCTATCTCGTTATTTTCTTTCGTTAATATTGTGTCGGGAAATTTTAAGTTATGTGATTTTTCGTGTAAGAGGGTGGCACTTTGCTTATTGGCATTCGTTACTTCTGACTATTGCAAAAAAAACATTGATTATTGTTGAATAAGTAGAAAACACTGCACTGGTCACAATTATTATTTTTTAAACCAGACGATAAAACATAAAGTAATATTAAATATACATATATAAGATATACCTTCTCCATCTAAATAGTAATGTTTTATTTTTAATTAGTTTCCTTACCCTGCATTTATAGTTAGCGTGAATTATCGAAGATAACACAGCATATTTTGTATACTTCACCACTCGCTAACTGTGAATGCAGGGTTAGGCCTAGTAAAAAAAAAGTATATTAAATGAAATTGATGTCAAACCAGAGGTAAATTAAGCTCGCCACAATGGGTATATTCGTTCATCAATTTACGTTTGTTAAGCCAATATAATAAGTAATCACACATATTTTTCTCTCCTATAAGAGAATCCTTAAAGGTAGCGCACAACGCTAACCTCATAGCGGCTTCCGAACTCGATATGTGGGGTGCCATTATACCGGGCGTATCAAATACAAATACTTTAGGATTGGGATAAACTTTAATTTTATTTAAGACAGACTTGGTGACTCCTGCGTAAGGGCCTAAAATATAGTATTTTTTTAAAAAAATTGATTTTTAATATTAAGTAATTAGGAAGTGTCCTGGTTCGACTTTATCAAAGAGGTGGCTGTTTAATCGGCTAAACAGCCTAAAAAGTAAGAGAGAAAATAACGAGAAAAAACAATTCCACCAAACACTTACAGCCTAAAAGTAAGAGAGAAAATAACGAGAAAAACAATTCCACCAAACACTTGAAACAATGTCCAAGTTTAAAAGCTGTTTAGCCATGCTAAACAAAAATATCAAACAACATGGGACATATCTCCCACTTTTTAGGGTTAGGGCTACTCTTAGTTCTTCTAAGAGTCATGGTCTTAAAACTTTTTATCAAGATTCTAAGTTATATTTAATTTCAATTTAAGCCATTAATCCCAATTAATCAAAATATACAAAATAAGTTAGGTATAACTAAGATAAATTTTGTCTGATTGACAAGTTTTTCCCCCTAGTGGACAGTATAAAGGAAATATAAATATTAGTAACAAAATTTTGGCCATCCTTATGAGTAAAAAGCTAAGGAATTTATTCTGAATATTGTGCTTAATTGTTTATTATAATTCGTTTGGTCACAGTATTCTAACGAATAAACGATATTAGCAATAGAATGGAAAATGAATGATAAATATCAGGTTTGTGCTAATATTTATGACTCCATGTACTTTTGAGAATCACAAATAAGAAACCGAGTTATTGAAAACTAAACTATGACACACATTAAGCCTGAAATGAGTTAAGTTTTTGGAAAAATTCTGAAGCTTATACAAAATCATTAATAGTGTTTTAGTAATATATTTAATTGCTTTTTTCTGTTTGGTAAATGGGAATAAATTATTACATAAAATAAGAAGAAAAAAAATTCATAATTAGCATCAAAAACGGAGAATATAGAAGTTCTAAATATCTGATTTGCATTTATATTTAATGCCTTATTAATTAATTATTTAATCAACGCAGTCATAAAAAAAAGTCTTTTAAAATCTTTAAGGGTTTGGCTGGGTTAATTTAAAAAAATTATAAAGGCTGGGCCAGGCAAATATATTTAATGAGGCAATCAACTTGGTAAAATTTCCTAATGGGCCAAAATAGGATGTGCTTTATAGATAGATCTTTGATGTAAATTAACAAAATACAAATTTTTCTTTATTTTGGGGCAATAATAAAAATAGTTTTTATAAAATTATTATATTTCTATTTATTTTATGAAGTAAAGTAACTTTTTTATATATGATTTATTTAAATTTGTTCAATAATAGTAAAAATAAATTCTATACTAAACTCAATTATTATAATCATTAGTATATATATATATATATAGATATTATATACCTTCCTCAGATGCTTTTGATTTTTTCATATATTTATTTCTGAATGCATTTAATAATGATGATTTTCCAACATTAGGAACTCCTATTATCATAATATTATATTCATCAGCACCCATTCTATTATATCTTTAAAAATATATAAATATATATAACTTAAAAAAATACCTTAAAAGAACCTGTTAGAGATTTTAATATGATCTAAAATGATGGGTAATATATTTAATAAAGAATGATCTTTTATTTGGTTTGCACTAGTGAACAAAACTTTCACAACATCTTTTTCTTGATCAGAAACTTTTTTAATTATTTGTTCATAACAAGTTTTATCAACAAGATCCTTTTTGTTAAACACTATTTACTTGTTAGAAATATAAATATTACATTAGCTGTATACCAAGTATTCTAGGCTTAATTCCCAATAAGTTTTGAAAATTGATATTTCTTCCACTAAAAGGTATTCTTGCATCATGAACCTCAATAATAAAATCGATCGTTCTTAGTTTCGCTTGCATTTGTTTCATACCTATAAAAAAACATGTACTTGAATCAAAATTCATTAAACTCGTCATCATATGCCTTGGATACCATGATATATTTGAATTTGTAGCTAATTTATATGCTTCGCGAAAACTCATAATTTTAAAAATTATTAGGACCGAGCTTTTAAGTGTTTAAAAACAAAAAAAGTTCATAGGGGAGAATCGCGTTACAATCAGATGTTATGTCGAACGAATTGGCTCAATTTAGTTATTTATATATTTTAAAAAATCATAATTTTAGGAAGGAGTCGGTATGCCTAGAGGTCTGCAATGGGTGGGTTTTTAGCCTGCCTATCCATTCTTCAGGCTGGCGTGAAGAGGTTAAAATATTTTTAAATTAATCGGGAGATGGGGGTTTTAAATCTCTTATGGGCTAAATGAGTGAAACAGGTTTCTATTTATTATAAACCATTTATTTTTTCATAATGTTAATAAATAAATAAATAAAGACCAATGCAACCATTAATAAAATTTTAAATAAAAATTTTTCAACAAATCAACGGGCGAGTGGGTGAATCTTAAAAAATCATTAGTGGACGAGCAGGGAGGATAAAAAGAGAAAATAATTTAAATATCAAGTGAATGGTGGGGGTTGACTTACCTCTAGACTTTTCAATCCGATAGTTCTTAGTTTGAATCGAGCAAGGACCAATATTTATTTCTGAAGCCAAATTAGTGATTCCGTCCTAGAGGGAATGAGTGTTATTAAAAAGCCTGATTTTGGATCGATTTTTTAAAACGGTCAGATTAAGATTTTAGCCAAAACAATATTGTGCAAGCCAAGTTTTGATCTGCCATCTAAGAGCAAATAATAAAAACACTAGAGGGAATATAGTAGCTAGGAGGCGACCATCTGATTTTACCACTTAATATTTACAAAAAATGGATTTATGCATTTTAAATAATAATTAGTAGTTGTTTAGCAAAATAAGTTGTTTTTTTAACTTCTGTATGTAACCTGGCGCACTATTTCATTAACCATTGAAAATAATATAAAATTAATTTTAAAAATAAAAATAATATACACTTTAATAAAGAAGAATGATATGTTTTTAAATTTTTACTTTATATCAGTAGCATCACATCCCCTTTGAAATATTCTATAAAATATATAGTATTGACCCATTAATATATTAAAAATCAAATTTTCTTTGAAAAATTTTTATAAATAGCAGCCGCTTCTCCTTTATTAAATGGGAAGGTGACAGTGGCGTCGCTAGCCTTTACAATCTCAGGGTGCTCAACTAAAAAAAAATTTATGGGAGGCTTCGCTCCCATGTCCTTCCCCAACTTGCGGACTTTTAAAAATTTTCTAACTCTGAACAATTATTCTGAATTTCATATTTTGTCATTAATTATATTATGCTTACAAAATAAACTAGCATATAAATAATTAAAACAATACAAGACATTTCTAAAAATAATATTTTTTAATACAAAATCTATTTATTACAATATAATATATTTTCGATTGCTGATATAAAAAATTTTGCGTTTAAAGAATTACAAGTGATAAAAAAGGTTAATTAATTCATACATATGCCTCAATTGATAATGGTTTTTAAAAACCCCATAAGGCTATATAATTCTTAGCAAGTTACATTGACAAAAGGTCATAAAACTAATATAGCTCTCTGTTACCATTTTAGACAATGTTTTATAGAATGGACTAATAAGGAAAATTTTATAGGTCTTACCAAATCAACAGTCCTTGAAAAAGAGAATATAAACGACTCCAAATCATAAACCTATTAGAGCTTCCTCTTAGATGACATGATGGAAGCTAGATAAGTAATTGAGAAAATTATTGTGAGATATTAAATTTCTAAAAGATTATCTTCCATTTTTAATGCTATATAAACGACTATACAGTTGACCATTATTACTTATCTAAAATAAAATATGCAATCATATGCTCTCAGCAGCTTTAGTAACAATTTTAAATTACTTAGCCACACTAATAATAGATTCTGGTTAATTTGCAGTCATAGCCATGACACTCACGATGGTAACCCATATCAGAATTTATTATGTTAGATAATATAAAACAAAAACACTAAAAATAATTAGAAGAAATTGTGCAAATATATTGAAACCTTGAGTTATTTACACGGCAAAAATGACATATTAGAAATGAAACATTTTCTAACTATAAAATAAGTACCAGAATGATATGATGAAACAACTAAGAATTATATATTGTCGCACCACCTCTAGTTGGTATATTATATATTAAAATAATAGTAGTTTTTAATAATATCAAAAAATACTTGTATTAAAAATTTAACTCAAATATTTTTTGAAAAAGAAAAAAATAGCTCTCTAAAAACACGTAAAAAAGAGAAGAAAAGATATATAATTTATTACATCATTGTGGGATAAATATAGAGACGTTTAATTTTAATAATATTTTAAATAACTAGATGGCGTTAAATAATTGAATGCAAATTTTTACTTATATTTATTATCAAAAGCATTTATTAGTAAAATTTTAAAATATTACCTGTAATATATTATATAACTGTCAAATACGTCTGTAAAAGTGGCATTTTACCTTATATTTTATAAATAATTATATATTATAGAGGATAAACTATATGTCTACTTACTTTTTATAAATAAATCTCTTATACTTATTTGGATTTGGACTTTGAAAATAATTTTAGGAAGAGACATGATAATTAAATTTAAAAATCAATAATATAGTTGATTAGTGATTTTGAACTCAGCTATTACATTACAATATTAAATTTTAATTTTCAATTAATAAATGATTTTATTTATTTAATTAGGTTTATATAATAATTTAAATAATAAAAGTCAATTAAGCTTCAATGGTCAATGCTAAATTAATATTTAGTGAGTATTGATATATTTTTAACACAGAATATGATTGCAAGTTGACATAGTGTAAATATAATTTATATGTATTAATCTAATCTAATAATTAAAATAGTATTCATTTAATAAAAATTTAGATAGTCTTATTAAATAATAAAATTAAATCTATATATTACTCAATAGAATTATAAAAGAATTGTTCAGGGGGCAATTAAAAAAATTTATTTTTAGTTCAATGGGATATTAAGGAACAATTTTTTTAAAAAAATTTTGCTTCAGGGTCTATTCAAATTTTTCAGGGGCTCGAGCCCCTGCGCTTCCCCCTAGTGACGCCACTGGAAGGTGAGGTTTGCCTCCAACCCGTAGTAGTTATAAATGGCTCCATTTTTAGCAAGTTTTGATCCGACTCTAAAAAGTCTAAACTAAATTTTAAAAAAATTATAATCTTAGCTTTAATTAAAGTTTAAAGTAGGATACCTCAATCTTTAGAAATAATATATTCATGAGGCTTAGAAAATTTATTTTACTGTTAGAATTGAGCCTATTTAATAGTACTATAGGCAACAAATAGTCCAATTTTAATAAAATCTTTAAATATTTTAATAAAAATTTGAAATTTTGAAATAGGTAGGTTTTTAATTGTTAAGATTAATCAATCTACTTTGACATAAATAATAAATTAGGATAATTTTTTGTTTTTGAGTGTCTTTTTGCCAATGAACCATTTTTTATTGATTGACTGATATTTAAAAAATTGAAAATCATATAGAAGAATATTTTACAGATGTCGCTCAAATCAGAAATTACACTTTTATTTAAAAATAAACCATTAAATAAATTTAAAACTAATAAGATTAAAAAAAGCCGAGTATACAATTTCTATAAAAAACATCTTGCAGCCCCAATTGATTGATTTGAAAACAAAAGTAAAATGACTTGTAGAAATTTTTATTTTCGAAATTCTTTCCAATATATTCTTCATTCAGAAATAAATTGGTCTAAGAACCTAGATGCGTGATTTAGAGATAAGCGATTAAACTGCCAAAGATTCAAATTGAAAAAATATGAAACGATTTCTAGGCATCGACAATGTATCGGCGAAGATATTTTAGTAAAATTTTAAAAATTCTTTAACTGCTAGAATATTTTATCTTGGTACCTATTGTGAAAGGCGCATCCATCTTAGAATTTGATCATTGTAGATAATCGAGCGAGTTTAAGAGTAAATAATTTGTAAACTTAATGTTAATAAATATTAATGGACCTTTGTTATCGGAGGGGTTCCTACATCCATATATCAAATAATGGGATGGGAATCACGTGAATGAAAAATTTTCATAAAAAAAATACAGCCCCCCCCCCTCCCTCCCTCTAAATGAAAGATTTAAGATTTATAGAAATTTTAAATAGTTATATAAAAATTTATTTGTAATGATATCGGTATGGCATTAAATTGTCCTTATTTTTAAAATATAAATAAATCATTTATTCAAATTCTAAATTTAAAAAAAATTGATATTATACAGGGTTTTCGGTTGTTTTAGCACAGAAACTCTTATTATGATAACGCAAAATACGTAAACATTTTTTTATATTTTGATATCATTCAATTCGAATATAATATTAAAAATAATGACCCCTAGATTTTGAATATGAATAGTAAGAAGTTACAATATAAATTAGTAAAAAATATTAATGTATGAATGTCATGCATTACTGACAAATGATCTGAAAAGAGTTGGAGTTTAACAAAGTATATTTAATTATAACATCTTTAACTCATTTATTTTATATTTACAAAATAATAAAGAAAGAAAAGATACTGATTTTGAGATGAATAATTTAAATAATGTAAATAGAAGCAATATGATATTTTATACAATGGAAGATGAGGCGATGAAAGAGTTGGAGTTGAACAAAGCACATTTTAAATATAGTGATTCAATTTTAAACTATCCTTTGGATAATAAAAGAAGAGTAATTGTAGTTCTGAGGGAAATAAACATTGAAAGCCTAAAAGTTAAGAGAAAGAAGATAGGTAAATTAATTTATAAATAAAATATTTTATTTGTAAAACAATAGAAGCTAAATGTGAGGATCGAAGATATCTCTTATGGTTTTAAATTCTTTATTAAAGAAAAAATTAAATATAGGCATGGATTCTGATGAGAATGTAGCCTGATTGTCGGTGACAACAATCCCTACAAAGGTATATTGGATGAAGAAGAAAAAATTTTTTTTTTATCACTTTTATAATTATTTACTTCAAAATTGTTTTATATTCGAAATCACAAATATTTAATGCTCTTATTCTGAATCACAAATATTGTAATAAATAGATAAATATTTTATATTAAAAAATATTATCTTTAGCCTTCCAAATGTCTTATATTGTTTTACTAATTATTTATATGCTAGTATTTTAATAAATGGGATAATTTCACATATCATATAGTATAATTATGCCACATTCCTTTATTTTTCTAAACATGTAAATTCATATAAATAACTATATATCGGATATTCAAAATATAATTGATGCAATCCTTATAAATGATAGTATTAATGATAAATATATAAATAATCATATAAAACATATATTAAATTTCAACATTATTACAAGTATTAATATGTAGTGATGTTAAGGTAACTAGTTACATGTAACTAGTTACCTAAAAAATAACTGTAACTAGTTATATTTTTTAAATTGTAACTAGTAACTGTAACTAGTTATGATTTTTGAAATGTAACTGCCAAAAGTAACTAGTTACTTCTAAAGATATATTCAAATAATTAATTTTATTTTTAATATGTTGTGATAAATTAATTTTAAATTAAATTAATTTTTAAATTAAATTTATTAATTTAAAATTTTGTGAAAATGTCTGATTGTTATAATTTCCCGTTCAAATTTACCTTAATACCTCAAAGTGAATCCCAGACGAATGAATCATGCTCAAAACCAACATCACTTGATGTAGTTGGATTTTTTGACCTAAAGCGCCAAAATATTCTGGATAATAAACTTATAGAAAACTTTATCAAATCTAATAACAACACTTTTTCTTTATATAACGATTTTCCAAAGTTAAAATTACTCTTTATTAAATATAATGTTGTTCTAACATCAAGTGCTCCCGTAGAGCGCTTGTTCAGTCTAGGTAAGCTCATTTTTGGAGATAAACGAGCACGTCTCCTAGATAATAACTTTGAAATTAATTTGTTGTTAAAAGCAAATAAACATTTATTAGATTCTATGCAAATATATATTTTTATATTCGATGTAAATATTCAATTTTGCGATATTTTTTTATATAAATAAATTGTATATTATTTTAAATAACTGATTATACTTTGTTTATCCTAATTTTTTTTATATTAAATAAATGCATTCAATAAATAAATAATGCGCATATGAATGATGTATAATGTAAGTAACTAATTACTTTTGAAAATAACTGTAACTAATAACTAGTTACTTTTGTAAAAATGTAACTAGTAACTGTAACTAGTTATGTTTTTGCCAATGTAACTAGTAACTGTAACTAGTTATGTTTCAAAAGTAACTTTTAACATCACTATTACTATGATACTACTTTTTTAATTAAAATATTTTTCAAAAATTTAGATCACATTCTATTTATATAAATAAAACTAAAACCTTTCATCATGACAAAAAAAAACTATAATCACTTTTTTCTCGTGCCTGAAAAAAGGTTAAATTATTTTATTTAAAAGTCCTAAAAGCTACTTTATGAAAAATTTTAAATCTTCATATATTATTTTAATTATTAAATAATGTTGCATGAAAGAGGCAGCAAGAGAAAATTTATTTAAGCTTGAATTTTGTTCAATTAAAGAAGAAACGGCACTGCGTCTAACTTATCTCAAGAATCTTTTGGACTATATCACAATGAAGATCATCTGCAAGATGTAGACACTCTAAAATATTTGGATTGCGGAAAAGGAATCAAACTACATATTTATATGATAACAAAAGCATTTTCTTGTAACTCACATCCTCTAGCAATTAGCATACCTAGTGAAAGGGATTTCTCCATTCATGGGTTGTCTCAAATTCAAGAAAATTAATCTCTTGTGCTAATGACGAAGTTATTTTTTTAAAATTATAAAGACAAAATATTATAAAATTGAATTTAAATATAAAATTTGTTTTTCATTAAAAAAATTTAGTCGGTATCTATATATTTTCTCCAAAATTTTTCAGCACTACTGTTATTTAATATTTATACACCGTTTTTATATTATATAAAAAGATGAAAAAAGCGGCGGGCCTCAGATCTACAACTAGAAATATATATTCTACGGATTAATAAATTAGTGATATGAACGACTTTGAAGTCGCTTCTCTTTTTTTTTACGTTGAAAGGAAAACCAATAGCTGTATTTTGCAAATTGTTTCAAAAACTAATTAGAAGACTATAAAATTTAAATAAAATATATTATAATATAATATAATATAATTGATTAAAATATCGACTATTTGCGTTCCCAAAAGGAGTCGTAGTTATGTCGGAAAGACCGCGATTTACCCTGAATTGTATTCCAGCATGTATAAAGTATCTACATTGCAATGATGTATCCATACTACAAGATTGGCGATTCATTAATCAAAAGTGTACATACATAGGAGTCAGCTGTAAGGCCATTTTAGAGTTTGCACGTCGACTAATATTTTATTTATCATTAAATGAATGCACATTAATGTCATTTAATCGATGCACATACACAAAATGGCGCTACAACTGATTCCTATTTAAGGGTGCCTTCAAATGTATTTAATAAATTAATTGCCAATCTAGTGGTACATATAGTCGACCCCACTGCAAGACCTCTTAAGTAGCATTTTTTCCTAATTGCAATTTTTTGAATAAATGTTATCTATAAACATACTATCATCTCTCAAAAAATCGGGTCATAGCCAATAAAAATTATTATTTTTGTCAAATAACATTAAAACATAACAAAAAAAGTCATCAAAACCTCGTAACTGATCAACAAAAACTTGGAAGTGGCATGGGGGTCGCATATGTGAATATTTTTTTTAAAACTATTTTAATGAAGAAGTGTTATAATTAAAAGTTATTCATTAATATATTTTAATTTTAATAACAGTTTAAATAGTTTCTTGTATCTCCTGAACAATTTCAAAAATGCAACTTACAAGTTGCAGTGGTGACGACGATATATATCATTGCTATACTGTTAATTTCAACAATGTTCCATGAAATTTTGAACCACTCCTAAGCCTTAATTCATATTAATTTTATTTTATAAATATTTCATAAAAATTAATAAAAAAAATTAATAAAAAAAATGATGATCAAATACCATATCAGATCTTTAAAAATTTAAAAAAAATACACCACGCAATCCCGAATGATACGAATACGAAATAAAATTTTAATAATACAATGTCTTCGTCACTTGGCCTTCTTATAAAAAGTTTAATGGCGGAGATTCGGGTCATTTTGAGCTCTAATTCAAACGACATGGGGTAAAAATATTTTGAGAAAGTAAAATCGAAATCAAAAGTTTATTTAAAAAAAATAATACAGACACTATTTAATAATGCTTAATATAATGTATAATAATTAAATAATATTTATATAATATTATATTAATTTTCTAATGTATATACAAAATGATATTTATTAAATATATTTATAAAAAAATACACTTTATTTTTCCATTTTACAATTGGTGGAGAAAGTTTTTGGCAATGAGGCAACTCGTAGGTCCCAAGGAACTTTGCGGTAATGGTTCTATTCCATCTAACCATTTATTCTTGTCCAAATCAAAACATTCCACGGATTTAAGTTCAGCATTACTCAAAGAGCTCACACCTCCGATGATATATATTTTATTTTCTTCAAAATAAGATATATAATTTTTATTTAAAATAAACATTAAATTTTAAATTTTATACTAATATCGGAGACTTGAAACCCGGCCTTAAGGCCGACCTGGCTACAAATTTTTATTTTTTTAAAATATACCCGAGCTAGAGCCGTATATTTTAAAACCAAAGAGTTTAAATCCTAGTATTAGCTATAAAAATTAAAATAGGTATAATGTATTTTTTTAAAAATCGGGGCTGGGCCATGCAAATGTTACCCCTACAGGTCTCACTAATATAATAGAAAATTATCTGTTTTTTATTTTCCTTGAAATGAAGTAATCACTTACAGTTCAATATATATTCGTTATACAACTGGGGATAAGTTTGCCTCAGGGCAAACTTAATACTAACATATCATATTTATAGATGAAGGAATTTAAATATTTCCATTTTTTTAAATAATATTTAATTTGACAAGCAATAACTTTTAATTTGTTGGCTTGAAAATAGCTGTTTTTACGGTGGCTTGAAAACAACTGTTTCTTACATACAATAGACTTTCAATGAGCCTTGTAAAATTTTTCGGTTTTATAGCCAATTCCCATCTAATCATATATGACCTTTATATTTTTTTTTTCTTTTATAATTTTACTTTATATTTATAACCTACTTAATTTAAGCAGGGTCACCCATATATCTCTCAAATTATACTTGGTGACCCAAAAATCGATGTTTTTTTAAAACACTTGCAAAACAGGGATTTAAATGAAAGTTATGTACTGTTTAAAAAACATTCATGTTTGGTTGATTTTTGGTGAGAAAAATCTCATATAGGAATTGAATAATGAAGAGTTCAGCTGCGTAACAAATGATATTCTCTTCATTACCATATAGATGCAGAACTGACGATGACATGTCATCACATTCTTTACATTGTAATCGCAATCGTGGTCGGCAAACTAGACATCAATCAAATAATATAGCTCTGACTGAAATCAGAACGCTTTCCCACTACATTTTAAACTTTTAATCTATTTCCTGATAGTAGACCTCCTGATGTCAAATTCCTAATATAGAATTTCTCATGCTTAGACACGAATTCCACATACAATATTATTAACAACAAAGGATGCAATCAATAAGCAGAGCGGATCCAGATTTAAAAATTGCTAAATATTCATAAATTTATTGTTCTATTTTCTTACCAATAATCAGCTGTACCATACAAAGTATGGTGATTTGAAAGACTTTGGCCCAAATCAAAATGCTTGTGAAGTAACCTATTTAATTATTTGTGTTTTATTAACTCAATTGTCCTAACTCATTAGAACGCTCCCTCCCATTTTTGTTTTATTAAATTTCTAATTTTTTAATACTCAATATTTGTTAATTACATTTGTTATCAAATAATTATATGGATATTGTATATTAATATAATATTATTTGTCATATTATCTCTATCTAATATTTTTTTATATATATTTATGTGTTATATTATTAATTTCATTTATTATAATTATTATTTCTATGTTATTCTTTTTTAATATTAATTTATCGTATAGGCTAGCAATTAATCGTGTCAAACTATTTGCTAAAAGACCAATTTTTAGAAGACTTTCTAGACAACGACCAAATTTTTGTTAAACACGATCAAATTTTGGTAATATGAAATATAAGCCATTAAATATTAAAAGGTAGATCAGCGTAACACATAATTCTCTAGTCGACTTCAGGAAAAAACATCTGGTCCATGCTGGATTAGAACCCAGATCTAGGCGACAAATCTCGTTAAACGGAATTAGTTTATATATATTTTTTCATATAATATCTGACGCTTTCAATCGTCTGTGGCCTAGTCGATGATAAACAATCGCATCTGAGTCCAGCTACGGTGTATGACATAAAGAATACCGAAAACCGCGTGCTGCCTTCCAATATTTTTAAAATGGCGAAAGATGTATAACGTTATTAATTTTTTTAAAATATTAGATAGCATCGTAATTTTATCTTTTTATATCAAAAGATTGTCGTTTTCGAGTAGTGTTCTGTGGCCTAGTCAGTTGAGTGCGGTGAATTAATAATCCAAGTGTTCTGGTTTCGAATCCAGTCAGGACTATGTTTTTCTCTGAAGACAACTAGGTGGTCCCATGCTAAGGGGAATGATATAGAGAATACTGGATGCAATCGCGTAATTCAGTTAATATATATATTAAAAAATAGCTGGGTTGTATTGTCTTTTAATAATTAATTGTTTACAAAAATTTTGATAGTTGTTCAAGCATATCTTTAAAAAATGGTCGTTGTTTAGCAAATACCTTGGCGGGATTTATCACTAGCCATTTATCATTACTCTTTTATATATATTATAATATATCATTTATTAAATTGTATAGAACTTCAAGCTTAATATCCAATTATAAAAATTTTTATCAACAGTATAATAATATAATCATATAAAACAATTTAAATCTTAAAAATATGCGTTAAATACCTTTTTGTGTGAATCAATGTTATGTAAGAACACCCCCCCCCCCCACCAAAAAAAAACAAATTTTATTAGCTTAGATGATATTTTTATTATATAAAGATACGAAAAAAGAAAAGAAAGAAGGAAGGAAAATGAATCTCCTACTATAAGATAAATCTCGGAAAATAAAAAACACCCCGAAAAATAAATCTCCTACTAAAAAGAACCCGGAAAAAGAAAAAAGAAAGATAATGCAAAAATCTACAGGAAAAAAAAGTTAAAGAATATTAAATTTTTTAAACAAAAATATATAAAGTATATCTATCTTTTATCAAAAAAATGAAAAATTAATAAGATTCTAAGTATCTTAGATACAGATATAAGTATTTATTTAAAATGTCAAAAAAACAAAGTACGTGATAATAAAATATCTTGTTTCCTAGATCCAGGTATTTGCGGTACTGCAACTCTGATTAATAATCACTCGAGGATTTATTATTATAACAGATCAGGTTTATTATGCAGTCAACGCATAATCAATCTAACTAATTCAGGTTTACTATATTTTGAATAACAAATAGTCATTCGCTAAGGTAACATTCACTTATGTCCCAGATGATCTGAGTCATTTCACTGTCAAGTTTACAATAGGAAACCCATCGATATTATTTATAAGATTTATGAACGGGTGATTTTTCAGTGTTTTATGAGAATGTGATCTTTTAATAGCAACATTATAGCTAGAATGATTAGATTACAATATAAATCGTTTGCCTTTTATTAAAATCATGAGGATTCAAATTTATATAGCTATAATTAAAAAAGGTTTAAAATTCTTTTAAAGTAGATTGAAAAGTTGTTACTTTAGTCATCACATTCCTAAAAACAAGATATTAAAATTTGTAACTAAAATAATCATACCATTATTTGTATTCAAAATATAACTAGTCACTTTTAATAAAACTATAAACAAGTTAGCTAATTTGTAAACTAATATTTTCAAAGATTTTTTTTACAATTATAAATGTTAACATTTAATTATTTAAAATTCTTCGTTTCACGAATTTTATTATTATTTAAAATTCTAACTTAGTTTTTATGTATTTTTTAAAGATTTTTTATGATATATATTTTTAAATTTTATCTAAATAGGGGTGTCAAATAAAGTTGTATATATACGCCGAGATCTCCTGTTAATTTAGTTCTAAGCTAACTCATATAGACAATACCTAGCTATCTCATGTGCATGTCATAACCTTTATAACTCGTATCGAGATAAAGACTTAAACATCCAAAACCGCCTATGTTAAATATTTGACAACCGACTGAGGACTTTATTCCTCAACCAGATTTTACTTTATTTTATGTATTGATATTTTAAACATATTTTAAAAATATAATTTTTAAAAAAAAACTAACAAAAATTATGTCAACTTTGTTTTAAAATTAAAAATAATCATATAAAATGTCACATAATATAAAATTATAAAAATTTATTTAAGAAAGCTCATCAAGAGGCCAAAAGGTTTTCTTTACCCTGTATTCACAGGAAGCGTGAATTCGGGGCGAAATATAAAAAATGAATGTAAAATTATTATATTCATATCATATTTTATATACTTCGTCTAGATTCGCGACAACAACGAAATATCAAGGCTTAGGCAATATTTTTCTAGTTTAAATATTGAGTTAGCCGTTTTCGAAATTGGCTCAAATCGAGTCGTTTATCAACATTAAGATGTAGTTTTACTGTTAATGTTTCTGTAATGTACAAATGTATCATATACAAATATTAATGATTCCCGGGGGTAAAACTTTCCATTTTATTTTTGATTAAAAATCATGAAATAAATTACAAAAAATTGGAAATATAAACTTAATTATGTCAAATACTAAACCGAGTCAGAATTGGATGAACTCTGGTATAGATTCTTTCTGAATGATTATTTGTAATTATTTTTCTTATGTTTATGCGAAGTGCTGCAACCCCTGCACATATTTTTTCTGAGTTTGAAGAAAATCTTCAAAAACTTTGAGCAAAAATCTCTAAAATTCTCAAATTTTACCTAAAAATGCCAAAAATATTTTAATTTTTTTAAAAAAAAAACTTTTTATTAAATAAATCCTTTGCAATTTTCATATGTAATCTTTTGGATGAAATCGCAAATTTAAAACAAAAATTTTTTTAAAGATTTTTGCTCAAAATATTTTTCAAACTTGTAATTCTTTTAAAATAATAACTTTATTATCTTTAAACATTTAAACATATTTTGTATATATTTATTATAACCGTAATTGATACAAGCTGCCCTGTGTCGAGGAACTTTCATACCCGTTATGTAAGTCCAATTGTCCAAATCGTCTAAATATACATCTATCGCCGGCATACTCATAATCGTAGCCTTTGTTGAATTTATATTGGAATTTTGTTTGATATCTACTACATTGGTCGGGGGAGATATTTGACCGTGAGAAAATAAGGTGGCTCCACCGCATACATACATCTTACCCTTTGCTTCGACTAAGGAAGCGTGGCACCTAGAAAAACGCATGTCTTTTTTGCGATTCCATCTAAATAGTATGTTAATAATAGAAGATTATTTAATTTATCTCCCAATTATTTTAAAACTATATAGGTTGAGTTGACAATAAATATATTCATAAATATAAAACCAACCATTAATAATTATGATTAAAAATAATAAATTTATATAAAACATGAGAATTACAGGTCTGTGGTGGGGTTATAACATTCTACTTTTGCTACAATGGGTGATTGTAAGTGCGTTGAAATTGCGTTAGAGCCAATTTTTACATTTTCAAAGCCTCCAACAGCCCAGATTTGCCCTAAATGGGAGCAGGAAGCGATAGCTAATCTAGCAGTTTTTAGGGGGCATACTAAAGACCACTTTTCATCTGATATATTATACATCTCAACTAAAGACAGATGGCTTTACGTAATAAAAGACTCTAATTAAGCTTTATATTAAAAATATATTTTGCTATTTTTATGAATATTGTGTGGATAAATAATCTAATAAATAATGTTGTTTTGAATTAAAAAATATTTGTGACACACTTTCCTTCTGGATCTTGACCTCCGATAACATATATGTTATCATTATAGGTTGCGACAGTATGATAAATTCGTTTGGTTAACATTTTGGGGGCTTGTGACCATTTTCCTTCTTTAAACTTATAAACTAAGTCAGTTGGAGTTGGCTTGGTATTTTTTAGGCTAGATTGAATGTAATCGAATCCCCCTTTTTGAGTGAAAATATAATATGAGGATAAAATATTAACAGAATATAAATCATAAGTATTCGGGGAAAATGAAAATTCCAGGAAAGAAAACCCTTGGAAATAAAAAAGTCCTCCAATATTGCCCCGGAATGCAGATATTTAACTCTCATTATGTATATTAGTGATCTGCATGGGGCCTAATTTTTCAAGCCCGGCCTGGCCAATTTTTTTTAAAAAGTTTTGCCGGCCCGGCCCGGCCCGAACCCGGGCTTTGCCGGCCCAGTCCGAACCCGAAATTTTTTTAAAAAAGTTTTACCCACCCGGCCTGGCCCGATTATATTTAAATATAGAAATTAATTTTTATAATTACTTAAAATAAAAGACATATGCTATATGTCGTTTAATTTCAATAAATAAAATCAAATATTTTAATTTACTTAAAAAATTCAATATAAAATTAATAAATTTAGATATATTTAAAAAAATTTCCAAGGTCCGACCCGACCCGGCCTAAATTTTTTTTAAAAATATTAGGCCCGGCCCGAACCCGGTTATTTTAAATAAAATTAGGCCCAAGCCCAGCCTGAAGCCCACTTTGCAGATCTCTAATGTATATAAATCCAGCACTCCTTTACAGTATAATATTAGAATATATATATTAATTAGTATATCATTAAAAGTCTAAAAAATTTAATTCTTAGCCCTCTCCCACAAATATTATATAACCTGGGTAGAAGTCTATATAGAGTTTAAAGTAATATACACTTCATTCAAATATTAAAAAAAATATATATAAATTAAATTTACCAATGATGTAAATTATATCATGAACACAAGCTATTTGTTGCAGTTTGCGTGAAAACGGAGCTTTTTGTCCTATTTTAGACCAACGATTGGATAAAGGGTCGTAAGATTGAAATAATATAGGCATATCACTGTTTTCACCACTAATAATAGCTATTACCTTTTCTTTCATTATGGAAGTCGATTTAGTCGATATAAACCCGGTTTGTTCAATTAATTTATCACAGATTTGTACATAGGAATAATTTTGGTGAATGTTTGATTGATCGTTAAATATAAGATTGAGCTAAATATTTTAATAATTCGTTTGACATTTAGAAAACGTGTATTCTTGATTAATTTATAAGGTGGTGTTTTATAATTATATGTTCTTTAATACAACTGACGATGTATTCATAATAATGCATTTGAAGTCGTTGAATACAAATCAGCTGGACCCGCCATTTCGGTGACCCATATAGTAATTATTCTCATGTTAAAAACTACTATTAAATTGATAACTTGCTTCCTTATTATCTCGATGATCAGCCAATTTTTTAAAAAGTTTTCATCAGACATAGGAATAAATTGGCCTCTCGTTAAAAAATAATGATATGGGTATTCAAAATGCCCAGCTGCTTTCATTGATGCACACTTAATGAATGCATCGTCAGTCTAGGTATTATTATATGTCATTAGTTTTTATATATATTTTTTTTATACTTGACTTCTTTTAACATTTTTATCTGATTTCGCTGTTTTCAAATAACACCTTGGTTTTTCACTCTTTATAGATCCATCGTTAAATGCTTCTACGATTTTTTTGTCGTCGACTTTGTGTATTACACATACTTTTAACCTTAAATTAATCAATTTATTTTATGGTGTTTTAGACATATCTTTAAAATAAAAATGTTGAATTATAAAGCTAAGCAATCATTTCTGTGGAAGATGTTTAATATTAGGCAAAAGTTAAAATATCTAATATAGTGTTTGTGTTTTAGGTCGCAATCCCATATTTTAAACTATGTTTCCTGATCCAACCAATCGTGCCCCCATCTTGTTTAAAAAATAAATATTTGGTTCTTCTCTTTATTTTTTATTTTATACAGCTTTTTTAAAAACAATTTTTTAAAGATTCGCCCAAAATATTTGAGCAGAAAAAGATAACAAAATTTAAGATTTTTTTTAAAGATCAAACAATATTTTTTTAAATATTTTGTAATTTCATCGTGAAAGATTTTTATGCATAGAAATCACAAAAGATTTACTTATGAAAGATTTTTTTTACAAAGAAATTTGGGATTTTACGGTGATTTTTTATTTTGATATATAAAATTCGATATTTTTTAATAAAATATAAGCCCGCCCTGCCCATCTTGCTTATTATAGATATGTTTAACTAACCCGTTCGCCTTCAAGCTAGTTGTTTTTAAAAAATATTCGTTATACCTGTATAAAAGTTTTACCAAAGTTTGTATGTGACCTATTATTATTTTTTTACTTGTTAGAAATCAATTCTAAAATGACCAAAATCTTTGAACCCGGCCTGGATCTTCAGGTAAAAATCGGATTACATAAGCATTTATAAAGCAAAAGTATTTTAATGTCTAGGTTCTGTATGGGTATAGCCAAGAACTGTGTTGGGTATTAATACAAAAATTTTTTTTTACCAATTATATATCAGCAAGGAGTTATCTTTAACTGGCATATACTTTTGATTGCCAGGTTGTGAACAAGTTATCAAATCCTGAATATTCATTTGCGAATATCGAATAGATTCAGTTAATAAAATATTTTGTTGAGCTCTTATTGGTTCGGGTAACTCATTATTAAGCATGGATTTGGAATACTGAGCTCGCATTCGAACCCAAAATAAGACGTTGTCATATATCTCCTTTTCATCTACGCAGCAGAGTGTGTCGAGTTGTAACACGTTGTAAAGTAGAACAAAATTTAATTTTACAAATAGCAAAGGATAAGTTAGAAGGGATTTAAAATTTGTTGCTACGCAGCGTTCGATGGATGCTTTTAGGTTTAAAAGGTTATCGAGGACCGAAATTTCCCACAAATCTAGGCAGACGTGTGTTAAGAATCTTTCATTGGCCTCGCTCTTATGGAACGAGTTTAGGAAATGATCGCTTTCCAGGAAAATCTTTATTTTGACTATCAGTTCTTCTATTTCTAACAAATACGATCCCTTAAGTAAATTGAGAGTATTTATAGCAGATAAATCGAGCCCAATCTGTCCGGTATTGATGTATACAAATATAGTTCTCATAGTGTCGACCGACAAATTTAAATGTCTAATATCCAACTCCAACAAATCTGGCGAATTTTCCTGTCGCGAAGTTACCATCCATTTTAATAAAGGGCTTTTTTGCATCAAATGCATTTTATTTATTTCAAACCTGCACTCTTTACCAATGATTGATATCTTATCGTTTGAATAATCACCTTTTTGAGTTAGAACAGGAGTGGAATGAGTGTTGTGTTCCTTTTCCATTACATCATTCCCACCTAAAGATGGTGATGTTTCTGATTTCATTAAGTTTATTACTGCTTCATTATTCGACAAATGGAAAGCTTCTAATTTTTCTAAGCTTTCATCCCAAAATTTACTATTTTTTGTGAACTCCCGAAAAACTTTTATTTTATTGAATACTTCTTTTACAATAATCTTACCCACAATTTTATTGGAAGTATTAAAGCTTATATTTTCGATCTCCATCGACGGTATAACTTCGACTAGAGGCCTCAATATTTTGATATTGTTTTGAAAATTATGAACTTTCGATTTTATCTCTTTCTCGTTATTTTCATACAATAAGTGAAAGTTTTTATCGATCTTTACATCTTTAATTTTACCCATTTTCCTTTGCAAACTTGCGATTACTACCGATAAGTCCTGTTCGGGTTTTGACAACCTTTTTTTAAAGGTAGGTGTATTTGGTTCATTGTCATTCTGAATATTTTCATTCATATTAATTAATTTAAAGCATTTTTTTAAAAAAAATTTCATTAATTTAAAAATAATAATTATGCTCACTTAAAATTCGAATTGTTGAGAAATAATAACATAATGCAATCTGAAAAACTTAATATGCTATTATTCGTTTATTGTAGGAGAGCTCAATTATTTTTCTCAATTAAGCATCCTTCCTTGTTATATTATATTATATATATATTTGAAAAAAAATATTTAAATGTCAAATAAAGCATTTTTTTTACCAGCCCATTACATTTATCTAAAAAATGATCAGATGATACAGCTAACTCGATATCTTAGCCAGAAAAACATTGCCTAAGCCTCGAGATTTCACTAATAGATGTCCAAACTTTTGTACCATCTAATGAGCAAAATCTTCAGGCTTCCGAAATATTGGATATAATATTGAGTTCGCCGTTTTTAAAATCGGCTTAAATCGAGCCGTTTAACAAACTAGTATGTCAAATAATTCAAACATGGCTTATCGTTTGAACTACAAAGGAATGAATACCTATATTTTTAGCAATAATCATAGATTGTCATTAATATTATATTTCTTACTAGAATCAATATTTTTATTGCATCCTTTTATCGAACCGGAATTTGATACTTTAACGAATTTTGAATCTAACTTTTTTTTTAAAAACATTTATTCGTCTTCTTGCTATGATGCTAGCACAAAATTGAGAATAAATTCGAAAGTAGTATATTTCCTTTTTTTATCAGGAAATTGCGTCCGGAGATCCCTTTGAAGTTTAGGCGAAGCCAGTTCACCGATCCTTCAATATTGTATCAACCACATCAACATTCTTCACATAATTAGACCGTGCCCCGAGGGAAGCAAGTCTATTAACGAATTCCATTGAAGAATTTTCTTCTGCCATTTTAAGTTAATGACATGACATTTCAAGATTATT